TTCTACGCAGTATGTTTTAGAAGGAATCACCCAACCCGACAACAATCGGCGTTTGCCGAAAAAGTGAACCATATCCCCCAAATAATCTGTTAAATCGTAACGCTCGGGAGGTCTCCGCAACGATGTCTTGTTCAGTACGTCCCCGTCACCTAGACACTTAGAGGTGCGCCCACGTGCGTACTTCCCATGTACCTTGTGACTTAACGTGTCGCTGCTATGACTTGTTCTCTTCTCGAGATCGATGATCAAATTTTTGAAACTGATTTCGGAAACCGGTGGACTATTGTACAGTCCAGTCGGCCCGAGAGCAATACGAAAAACTCGCACTTTCCTCCTAAGGACTGTTATCGGAGAGGAAATTCCAGTGCTAGTGGAGTGGCAACGCCGCCATCCTTGTCCTCAGTCCCCGGTGACTGCCTAGTGTAGGGACGGCTCACTATGTTTGTGACGTCACAAAAGCGATTCGGTGTACTGCCAACCTCTTAAGAAAAAATTAACCGGCGTTTCGTGGGTTCAGAGTGGGGTCGCGTGACTTTTCGCGTTTGGTTGCTGGTAACACTGTTAATCGCGCAGAGGTTTGAAAACTGATGAATGGAAGAATGAGGAAAACAAAACTAAGTTCATGAAGAAAAAAGTTATATTGAAAGAAATTGAGTAACACATTTTGTATTTATACAAAAACGCCACATCTTGAATGAAGTAACATACAACAAGTCAATTTTTACAGGAAAAAATACAGAAAAGCTAATTCTTCAATGACAAAAAAATTAGAACAAATAAGTCAATTTTTAAATACAATCAATTCTTAAATACATCCAAATTGTACACCGCAGCAACAAGCGCCTCTTTCTTCAACCCAGTAATTCTATCAATTTTGCCCTTCAAAAATGATTTTAAGGGCTTCAGGGTGAGCGTATGGACCTGCAAAGAGGAATGGTGTACTTCAGTAAAGAATTCTATGATAGGAGAAAAAAAAAGAGCTAAAACAATCATGACATGTGACATTACCTGTTTATTTGTCACATACTCCAACATCTTCTCATTGTCTATCACATCTGGGGGTGCCTGTCCAGCCTTCTGGACCACCTTGTTCTGGACTCCTGAGCCTGAGCCCGAGGGGATGTTCTGGTGAACAGGAAAAATACAAATTTCAGGCAGGCTGTTAATTTTTGATTTTTCATATGATGTGCTTATATACTTGCCATTCCAGCAGGTGTAGTGGGAGTGTTCCCACTGCTCCAAGCTGCAAACACTTTTGCCCTTCCGCTTAATGGAGTTGGTTGGGGAGTGATTGGAACAGCCTGCACAGAAGGAGGAGAATAGATATAAAAAGATAAAACGAGAAGTGAAAATATGTGGCACGCAACACCAAATGTGACCGTACAAGTGGATGAGCTGGAGTCCTGGGAGTGACCGGGAACACTCCAATAACTCTTGATTGTCCTGGTGCTGGAGTCTGTGAAAGGACATGAAAGATGATGTTTTGACCTTGAGAAAATTAATTATCTACTTTCAGCAGTATAAGTACAAGTACTCACAAGAACAGGAGTTTTCTGACTCCCTTTAGTCCTTGCGGATTTTGGGGTGGACTGCTGAGGGGTTGACACCAAGGCTGCAAAACAAAATTTCGTATAAGACATATGTTAATTTTCCAAGGCATCATAAATTATTACTGAAAAATTATGTCATAATCAACTACTAGTTAGTGTATAAGGTCCACAGAAAAAAAGGTTCATCATGCAAAAAGAAGTGGAAAATGAATGATTTCAATAGGGAAAAAAATACAACAAGGAATTGGTATTAAGGTATGCATGCAAGGAGAGAATGATGAAAGAAACTTATCCGTTTCAGGAATCGTCCTTGGTGGTAAGTGACCATATGATGTACTGCATTGGCAAAGGATCCCCAAATATCTGGAACACAAAACCCTTCCCATCAATATTGTTTAGACTTGGGAGATAATCATGTCATGCACATGTCTACCACAATAATTGTTTACATCCTCCTACAACACAAAAATGAGATAAACTCAAGGGGGAAATAACTTCTGAAATAGGTGTACAAATTTGTTGAAATAGCTTTGAAATAGCAGTGAAATAGTTGAAATAGTTTTGAAATAGCTGAAATAGCTTTGAAATAGTTTTGAAATAGCTGAAATAGCTTTGAAATAGCTGAAATAGCACTGAAATAGCTTTGAAATAGCTGCATTAGCTCTGAAATAGCTTTGAAATAGCATTGAAATAGTTGAAATAGTCTTGAAATAGAAATAGAGGTGTACAAAAAAATGGCTAGTTATTTCCCTTTAAACTAATGTTAATGATAAACTAATGTTATGTAAGGCAACAAATTATGTTAAATATTTTTCTTCTGCTGAAATGAAAGGTGTAGAACTAGGTGAATATTTCAAAGGAGGGGGCTATTCCACATCCCACAATTTTCCAGACCACACCGAACATAAAATTTAAGACACCTGGTCTGGGCTGATGTCCATTTCCTTCACTGTGAAGCAGCTCCAAGTCATCTGGGGAGAGCTCCATCTCGCTCTCCTCAGCGAGGAGCCCATTGATATCTTTTACTGAACCTGCCAGGATTTGCCTCGTGCGTTTGATGGTATTTGCCTTTATGGACAAATTAACTTTTCGACATTTACGCGCCAGAAAAGTTGAGGCAAATTTTTTTTGGAGAGACTTGATGATGGAGATTTGATGCTCACTGCAGCCTACCCAGCTCCAGTCACACTGCTCTTCACAAATGCTTGTGATATCTGAATAAATATTTCTTGAAAAGCAGACTTTGTTCCAAGCTGAGTAGACTGCAGACTGACAGGTGGCAAAAGCATTCAACAGTTGTGTGGATGGAAAATGTTTAATATGGCCTTTGAATGCATAGTGAGTTGCACTCAGAAGGAAAGGAAGACTTTCGACAGTATGCTCTCTAGATGTCAAGCCCAGAGCACAATTCACACAACCATCTGGCACAACATCACTAGCCATCACTGCACAAATAAATTTAGGAGCCTGCCTCACAAGTCTTAGAAGCTCAGAAGGCAAAATCACATCAGGTTCTGCAGGGAGAGCACCACGGATCAGAGATGGATTTCTTGCATTATGGGCTACATCACCTCTCTTAACCAATAAGCTTTTTAAATCAGTAAGCAAATAGGAGTCTTCATCAGAGCAATTTTTGTCCTGAACCGTGCCTGCAAACCTAGTGATAATGCATGTTTTTAGAGCAGCTGTAAACTGGGGACAAGTGAGATCTGAGCCAGAGCCAACGCACTGCCGAATGCAGCAAAACATGTTTTCTATAGCATCTTGATTTAAGCTTCTTAGTTTCAGAATTTTCTGCCCACAAGCCTTCCATAGCCACTGCATCCCCCGAACTGTGTCCATCCAGCCTGAAATGCAGGGGGGAACATGCCTAACCCCAGTGGATTTCCTAATAAACACCCACTTCCTCAATGACTCCAACATTTTTGGCCATTCTGCATGGTGAAGAGATTTAGCTGATACGTTGATTCTCTGCTGCTTGACCTTTTCCTTGCCCGAGGCAGAGGGACCATTGGTTAAGTCAAAGAATCTGTCCACCTCACGGATTAGCTTTGCAGTTGGTAGGCAGTCAGAGAGGTATTTTCCTTCAGACAATGTGTGGCACATCTCTATACCATCAGCAACTCGGGCACCAAGAACTTGGGGGGCAAATTTTACCTTCATTTTACTTTTGCCAGTGGGATTCAAGTGCTTCATGGTAAGGTGAGACATCTGGTTCAATGACTGGTCTAATTTAAAATACTTGATAATGTGCTGGAATTTAGCAACTTTTCCATCATCATATTCTAAATCACTCACTAATAAATTATTCCTGACATTTTTCATTATATGTGGTACATCATAAATATGGACTAAATCATGATTATCTATGGTATACACAATACCATTATTTTTTGATGAGCATTTCTTCAACTCACTCACAGCTCCCCTGTTAGTAGGTCCTTGGTCAGAAATTGTGGCTAATACATTAAGACCTACTTCAAACATGGCACGCAGGACATCACTAATTAAAATACGTAACATATGCGTTGGGCATGTCTTATGAACAAAGTAGAATGCCACAGGCTGTGTCCATTTAGTATTGAGTCCCTGGACCATGAACATCAGAGCATGATCTGCAATTAAGTGGGTTCTTCCTCTATTTCCATAATCTTCATAGCCATCAATTAATTGCAGTGAGTTATTTACCTGGAGATTTTTGTTGAGAAAGACTTCATCAAACATTAGTGCACAGTTTTTGTCTAAAGTAGACATTTTTGATACTTTTTTTTTTAAAAGAGACATCAGTGGTGCAGAAATTCCAGGAGAGAGTGGAATACTCTGGAGGAGACCTTTTAAAGAACTCTCACTTGGCAAAACTATGTAATTGCGCAAAAACCTATATGCCCGAGGGCTCCTCTTATAAATAGATAATGAAAACAATTTGTCATCTAGAGTCCAACTCCTGCCACAAGGTTTTTTTTTAAAATTCCTCAATTCCCCTTTGAGCATCATTTTAAATCTTGGGGACACTACAAGCTCATCCACCATATCTATAGTTTTTTTTTTTGCTAGTAGTTGGAGTTTAAGGCCACCTCGCGCTTTCTGGCATTGTTTCAATCTCTTTTTAGTTTGCCTCAGAAGAGTGCGGACTTCCTGAGTTGTTTTTACAATTTTTTGGGCATCTTCTGACAGGTTGGAAGGATCACTCACCCCACTTAATTCAGCTATCCTTTTACATGAAACTCTCTGGGTGGATGTGGATCTGCTCCTTGCACCAGTGCGCTCTAGGCTTCCTGCAGCAAAATAGGTAACACAGCACAGCAGACATCAGAAACTAGAGTATAAATATGAACACTATAAGTAACAGAAGGTAGAAAATTTATTTATTTCACAAATATTCTAGATATTTGATGTACATAAAAAATCTGAGTGGTTCCACCCCTTGCTCTATACTTACTTCTAGTAGGTGCATTGCCCCTCTCTACTTTTGGAATTTTTGCGTCAGGACTATTGAAGAGGAAGTCTTCATCTATGTCGAACTCAGCTGAGGCAGGCCTCTTATTAGTACCAGTAATAATCTCAACCGAGTTCGTACACTCATCCAACTCATCAGGATCAGCATTTTCCATATTTTCCCCACTCTCTGCAATTTGATACAAATTGTTCAGATAGATAGATAGATAGAATGGTAATTCCAAGTTTGGTTTAAAAATCACCTGGTGGATATGCTGCAACTGTCTCATCACTGAGAGGGAAACAGTCAAATAAAAATGCACTGGGAATTGCCGAGTTTCTTCTAAGCAATTTTTTATACTTGTCCCAGAACTGGTCAGCACAAAAGTGAAGAGGGCATAAGTACCTGGCATTCCTTAAGGTATTGGCTGACACCTTTAAAAGTTCAGGGTTGCCGGAAAATTTCAACCAAATAGCTCGCCTGTTAAAAGAGGAAAAGAAGTGTTGGCAAGCAAAACAAATCTCAGATATATAATTTAAAATGTTTTGGAGAACCGAGGCACATAAGCACAAGCCCTCTAAATAGCTTTATCAAATCAAAATAGTAATAATACA